TTCACGGTGCGCACGCGCTCAGGAAAACAAAGAGGGTTACAACTATAACCTGTAAAACAGGTTAATTTCCTGGAGTGAAAATATCGTGAGATATTTGTACTCTTTTATTAGCGCGATATTTCTAATTTACGCATATGCAGTTAGATAAAGAAACAATTTTACTGCATCTATCAAATTTCCTGAATTACCAAAAAACCTCTTCTAAAGCTAAAGGTTGTCTCACTAAACCGTCCATACATTCGTTTTCTTCAAGACGGCAACGGCAACTAAAGCGTGTCTCAACTACCAAGAGACACCCTCCACAACGGCCAGTTCATTGGCAATGACTTACGAGTGTTGTATTAGTATACAAACCCGGCTTCTTTTATCACGCAATCTTTCTCCCGTGTCACGCAATCTTCCCGTACGAAGATTACGTGACGGGCGCAAAGAGGGTGGACCTATCGTAGTCCGGCTGTATGTCAATTCTGCTTATTTAAAGAGCGATCACGGCATTCATGCTATTGGCAGAAGAGTTCAAAGTTAAGAAAGTAAAAGTCCGCAATTTTCTCACAATACTATGATGTCCATAAATCGAGCACCGTTGATAGCTTTCCTGATGGATACTGAGTTTGCTTAATTATATGATGCACTAAAGATTCCTTTGAAAGCCTGCTCTCAAGGTGAGCCCTTCCACCCCATCCCCTGTCCTATTTTTGGTCACTTTCGCCCCCTAACCCTTTGCGTTTTTAAAATTAGTTTTTTAAAATTAAAATATACCCCCTCATATTACACTCTCCTATCTCCTTACATAAACGGACACCTCATTACAACGACAACTAACTTCGGTTCCCAAGGTATCCATTATGGATGTATCTGGCGAGCACTAACTGCGTGTAAAATCCAATAGTTGTCCTTTTGAAAGCTGTTAGCAGCGTGCTCTGCCAGCAATTAAACTCTCTTGCAGTTGGGGTTAGAAAGTTTGCCCACAGGCTATGAGCAGTATCAATTATATACTGTCTAAAACTTTTCAAAATAAAATTGATTTCTAAATAACAATGTACAGTTGTAGTATTGATTGATATTGTTGCTAGCTAGCTATACACCGTACCATACTCAAGGAGTTTGATACTGTAGATGAAAATAGCACATTTTTCATTGGTTTTGTAATTGATTCAATTAAGGAACTTTTCACCGCTAATGTGCGAAGAGAAATTGAAAAAGAAAGTAACTGAATTTTAAAGAATGAAGAATAAAACATGGTCCAATCTTAGGAGTGCTAGAGGAAACACCCAAGGACTTTTCGATCCTTTTTTGAGAGAAAAAAAGATGCATTCGTGAGTTTGTGAAATGAAAAAATAATTCTTGGTTCAGGGATTCTGAAAAACACAATTATGAATGCCAAAAGATGTAGCCATCTTCTCCCGAAGGTGTTCGTGACGAGAAATGGCCAAAAAAAGAAAGAAAAAAGAGAAAAAAAATGCAAATGACCAATAATTGACTGGTCTCTGGACAACCGTTATGTAAGTTGTCACGCTACTAAAGAAACAACTGCGTGGCAATCCAAATAACGGCTGCAAATCAGACTGAGGGCCGATTTAAACGGTACAACTTTGTCTTATGCATCTGAAAATCCTGTAACATCGCCTGACGTTACCATTCTCTTCGGGCTTTAAAAGCATGTTTCAAAATCACTCCAGATGTTTCACGTCGTGTCACGACACTAGGAAGCACCCATACCCAGGAAGCAATTTGTAGGTATCAAAACCAGAAACCAATTCATGTTGTAGGCTTGTTGTAAGATTGTCGCACAAAACAAAGTTGTGCCATTGGAGGGAAGAAAATTTTAAAAAAATTATACCATGGAACATTTTCCGTGGTCAAAGAGCTTCGACTTGGTCCTGGTCCTTCAGAGCTTGTTCTCACTTNATCGGCAGAATTATATGTTTCATTTCTCAAGTTTCCAAACTATTCTTCTCGGGTACTTACTACCGCTCCTCGCTTTTATTGAAACAGAATCCCCCCTCCCGAACTCGCATGATTTCCATGAGAAAAAAAAGCTTACCCATCGTATCCATATTTGTCGGCATCCGCATGCGCGGCGGCTATAGCGCCTGCAATACCACCAAGGATTCCCGGCATACCGTGCAAGTTGTTTACGCCGCAAGTGTCGTGAGTTTTCGTGTACTTTGTCAGGAATGGCTGCGAATAAAACACGAGTAATTAGGAGAATAGACTGTTACTCAAGAGATTATCGCCCCAGCTTAAAACATTGGTTCTACTTACTTCTACAAAATAAAGACAATAATTTTTTTTTAAAATAATCTGCAATTGTCAGTTCGAATTTTCAAGTGACTTGGTCTTTCACTGTCTTTCTGGACGCATTGCAGGCCTACAAGGTTACTCGATAAAATACAATCAAGCAAGTTTTGCTTACCGTCAAGTAAGCGTAGCCAACGGTGCTCAGTGCTCCGGCAGAGCAACCAATCAAAAGAGCTCCCCAAGGACTGATTGACATGTTGGAGGCTGTTCCCACGGCAACGCCACCGGCCAAAGTCGCGTTTTGAATATGGACCTGGGAACGAAAAAAAAGTTATTAGACGATGAACGTCACTATATTAACGATATTTTGAATAATAAAATAAAAGTGCTAAAAGTAACAACCATTGCAAAAAAAGTTATCACTTACAGGTTCGAAATTTTAATTCTCCTAACTACTTTTATATCACGATTTCTTTAAAAGTTACTCTTAAAAAATTGATCCAGATAATGGTTTTCGCAGTTCTCAGTGGTCCACTTGAAAATTATCATTCTATCAGGAGAGTTTAGCGAATGATCACTCACCATGCTCAGCTTCCACTTGCCGTCATTTCTCTGGAACACGGGGGACAAAGCGAAAGTTGTGACACAAGCGGCAGCAAGTGAAAAGTAAGTGTTGATGACGGAGCGATGCTGGGCAACATAATCAGGAGCAACTAGAGCTGCATTGAAACTAGGCCAGTACATCCACAAGAAAACAGTTCCTATAAAAGTGAAAGTATTTTTTAATTAGTTTGGCGTTTACCGAAACTCAGGGTGAGGGCATAGTTATTTTGACGTGAAATAAAGCTATGATAAGCTACATATCGCGTAGGAACCTTACAATTCAGTTAATTTTTTTCTCAGAGTCAAAACCTTGTCGGCGCGAGTTATGACTGAAGCTATAGCTTTCTTCAGACAAATGTGACAGCGTAGAATTCCTTGCGCTATCTCTGATTGCAAAATAACAATTGGAATTATTTCTTTAAGTACTTCAAGGAATATTCTACTAGAGGCGCATTTTTGCTTTTTATTTGGTTCGGTAGGATGCGTGAAATCTAACTACACTTAGTATCACCCAACTAGTGGACTAATGCAAATCCTGCATTTTGATTGGTTACGCTACTAGGGGACTATTAGTAATAGTCATCGAGTAGCGAAAT